CCCAAGCAAGCTCCGGCGCCAAAATTTTGCGAGTGGGTTTCCCGGCCAAGTGCCACCCCAGGACCATGGTGCCAACTCTTAAGCATGTCTAAGCCCCGTGTACGAACGCCTCAAAGTTTTGGCGGGAAAATCGCTAACTTGGGAACCAGAAAAGCTAGAAGATTGGAATTTTGGGATTATGTTTCCCGTCCATATAGAACTCAAAGATTTTAAAGTCAGCCCCCAGGTATGCGTGTTTCCCGCGTACGGCCCCGTGAAAATTTTTGGCGGGAAAATGGCTAACTCCGGAACGGGGAAGCTGGGGGCTGAAACTTTCAGGAAATGTTCCCAACTCGTCTACAACTTGAATTTATCAAATTCAGTCCCACATTATGCGTGGTTGCCATGTACGGCCCCGTGAAATTTTTTGGCTATAATTTGAGTAAATCGGGAACTGAGAAAGCTGGGAACCTGGGATGTCAAGGGTATGTTCCCTGTCCAAGTATAGTACGGGCAATTAACTTCCCGAAATTCGAGGTCAGAGGTTTCTATCTAGCGGAATTTCGAGTAATTTTATTACTGCACGAAACACTGCAAAAACGCATGATCGCACGGGTCCGCCCAGTGCGCGTCGCCAATGATTTTTTTGGGATTTTCAGGATCTAAAAGCCAGAATTGCATTTGGCTTCGATACACATGAGGATGGGAAAAACAAAGATTAAAAAATCGGATGGCACGCTGAGAAGACGGTTGGGCTTCCGAGTTCTGGCCTCAACTACTGCACCCAGCTGCTCACATGGTAACTCGTCAAATGTATTTAATTCTTCGCTCTGTTACGTTACTTCACATTGCATTGTCTTCCTTGGGCTTTTATTCACCTTTTTTCGGGCCTCTTTCGCTTCTGAATTTCTCATGAGCGACCACTCAGAAGTTTCCAGTGCACGCAGGACGCAACATCCCCTGGAATGCGACGCATCGCACGCTCTCAATAAGGTATGCAGCATAGCAAAAATGTTTTATTTTGAAATTAGCTAATTTAACGGCGAATTCATTGTACAAAACACAAGAATCTTTATTTCCCTTTCCCCTTACTTCTTTCTTCCTTCCTTTTTCCTTTTTCTTCCTCTTCTTACTCTTTTCTCAACCCCCCTTTTTCCTTTGATAAGCACCACGGCCGTCATACTGATGAGGCTAGCCGCCGTGTTAAGACATATATGACATCATGGACCGAAACGTCTTACCTCACCTCTTAATTGCTACTCTTACTCTGACTTCCAAGGTTAACTTGGACTCTGTGAATCATTTAATGAAAACGTGCTAAATCAACCACTTCACATATCCACCTCCAGCCTTTTTTACTAAAACTAAACTGTTATCAAGTCACTTCGGCAAAAACGAATAATATCTTTGAAGGGGAAATTAATTGGAATAGACGTTTGTTAGGCAGGATAGCGAAGTCCTGTATGGGCTGCTTCACTGGATGTTGAAGGCGAAGGCGACTAGCCCGATATGGACTGCACGATCCAGTTCCGTTACTCTGTAGAACTGGTATATATCGAGAAACTCAGCTCGACGGCAAGTCAGCCCTTCTGCCAGAAACAGCCCTTGAACTTGAAAAGGCAATAAAATTTGAATGTTTTCGGGACAGCGATGTTGACATTGCTGAGGAAGAGTCTGGGTTAACAAACAAAGTATGTTTGTCGATGGGCCTTGTCTGAAGTTAATCCGATGTGGGGATATTCTAACAGAGGCCATGGTACCACTTAGATATTAAGAGTGAACTTTGGGTCTCATGGTTGGGTCGTCCACGTCTGATAGTGAGAAAGTCGTGGGGTTGTGGGATTTGCTAATCCCGATGATCTGAATGGGACCTTAGAACTTAGCTATATTTAAACATATCTCATTTATATATGTATATATACATATGCATGTATACATATGTATATATATGTATATATGTACATGTACATATATGTCTATATATATGTATTGTAAAATATGCTGTTCTTAATATAAAATAATATTTTTTTTTTCGTTGTTTTCCCCCTTTTACCTTATGAATCATAATTCAGTTTGCATTCTTTCGTGTTTACAGTTTTCTACATTTTCGTCCTTCCTTTTTTATTACATCCTTAAGAACCTAATTCTACATTT